CCGAGGTGGCGGGCGGTTCGAGGGAAGGGGCGGTGACGTCAGGTGCTGCGGTGTGTCGCGGCCTGCTGATGTCACACCGGCTCTAGGCCGCGGAGTGGCGGCGGTGGCACCTGGCTAGGTGTGGTAACCCCAGCGGCAGGCTCAGCAGGGCTGCTGGCCCGGTTAGCGATGTCGTGAGCAGCACCTGGGGATGTCCCGGTGTGCGGAGCCGGCAGGGCGGGGCAGGTCTGCTGGGAGCCAGGCTGCCGGCCGGCCTGTCCCGTGGCACGGCCCCGCCACTGCCCTGAGCTTTTCCGTGGCAGGACGGCACTAGGCGACGTGCTGGGAGGGTGGCAGTGGTGCATCCTGCATGGCCACGGCACTCCAGCCATTGGACCGGGCCAGCTCTGCTGCTCTTCATTGTACTCTGGCACAGGCTCACAGAAGAACTACCCGGTTATCTGGGTAGCCCCGGATCCTGGCTGTTGTCCTAGGAGGTCATTTGTATTCTTGATCTTTTCTTTGCGAGGACATCCCATGATAGCTGCAGGGGAACATGAAACTACAAATACGCAATGGTGGTTTTGCTTGTGGCCCATGGCAATATGAGACACAAGACTGTAAGGAAAGGAAAATATTTTTACTCAGTAAACTCATAATGCTTGTGAAGACCAGAAAGCACTTAACTCTGGTTTTCTGTTGAAGACTCAAAGGGGTGTTGTGCCCTGAAAATTTGTCCTTTTTTTTTGTGATACCAGGGGACTGGAACCAAGGACTCATTTGAAAAACAAATTATCTTATCTTAAATAACAAAATGTACGCTTCTCAGTTTAGACTCCCCAACAGTAGATAACAGGATGCTTCAGTGTCTGGACAAAGAAAATTGTGGCTTTGAACAAGTCCAGGCCAGACTCTGTTTTGGCTATCAGCCTCCAGGAAAAGTGATCATGCGCAGAGTAAAGTTCATCCAAAGGACTCAGTGAGGAAGACTATAATTTGCCACTAGAGACCACCAGAGGACCACCGACTCATTGAGACCAACAGAAGTGAGCATGCGCAAAGTAGTAGTGCATATGTTAACTAGTTCTAGGAAAAATATGAATATGTTAATGAATCAGTGGAAATTTAATGAATATGGATGAAATGCTTTCAATAGAATGTGTGTAGTGTTAGAATCGGTGTGCTCACCTTTGTGAAATTATTTGTGTGTGCACCCAGCGCTGCAATAAAGAATGCCTGCTTTCTAAAACTCCGAAATGAGTCTTAGAGAGTTTTTTCCATGGGTGTTTTGATATCAATTGCAGTCCTAATCTAATACTTAATTCTATAAAACAGCCCATTACAAAAAAAAGACACTTTGTCCTGTAATTAGTATTGCTGCAAAGGTAGTGATCAGAGTAATTTTTCACTTGCTCTGCTAAATCATCAGCAACCATCAGCAATCAGTTGTTTACTGATTAAAACTTTAGTTGCTTTAGCAAAGAAAAGGAGATCTTAAGTAGGTTATTTTTGTGGGGTTTTTTTCCAATGAAGTGGGTTAAGTAAGAGATAATAGTGACAGGGAAGTGCAGTATTTGTAGAAGTTCTCTACTAAAAACCTGCTATTAGTTTACTGCTTTAATTTGCTTTTGTAATCATATCTTAGTTTGTTTTAAAAATCTGTATAAAGTGGATTGAAAAATGTACTTTCCAGCTGATGTAAGCTCTGTATAACTTAGGTGGGTGTGAGGTCACAGATATGTCGATAAACTTTTAAAGTGTAAACTAGACAACAGTCTTAACAGCACACTTTTAAAGCAGGATTAGTAACATTTTTCAATGCTGTAAATCAGTTTACAGAGTGACAAACACTGTGCTGTTAGTATGACATATTTCCAATTCTGTTGGAGAATTCTGATTTCTCTTGCTCATTCCTCTGTTTCCCTCTATGTGCAGCAAAAAAAGTTTTAGTAGATTGTCATTTGCTTTGTCTCTGCACTGTGCTGGCATAAGCAGCAGTAGCCTATGAACACCCAGTAAGGCCAAAGGAAAGCTCTGAGGGTCGGTGGTCTCAGCTCTGCTGTCTCATCCCAGATCCTCTGCTAAGGTAATAGCAGGTGATCTCTGAATTTAAGCAGGTAGTGCAGATGCATCTTGTTGGCATAGATGCATCTAGACAGGGCAGTCGTGGAGGGGAAGAACGTGTATCACTTCAGAGGTACTAGCTTAAGATTTTGTTCTGTTTTATTCATTAGTATACCAAAAATGGGAAATTATAGAGTGATTTGATGCTTATATCGTTAGTTGTGTTCTGCAATATTCTTTTACTCCTTGTTGTGGCAATGGTAATGTAATGCTTGTCTTTGTAGTCAGAAAAGAAAAAGGTAGTTCTTGCTTTTAAGAATGGTTTTATGTTATTATGCTTTGAGAGAGATGCTTCTATGAGATAGAGTAAAACCAAAATTGCTTGTTTTGTTTAAAACCTCAGCTTGCAGGTTCTAGTGCTCTGTTTCAGCTGTCTATGTTTGCAGAGACATGTATTGAAGGCTTAAAGTAATTGAAAAGGAATTTGATTTAGACTTTACTCTGTCTTAATGCTAAAAAAAAAAAAAATAGGCTTGTGCACCCATTATTATTACTGTTTTTTTGTTATTATCACTTTACTTTTAAATAACAACATACTGTATATGTGATATAACTGCAGCTTTACTTTGCCCTTTTCCTGTAGCTGAAGTTGAAGAAAAATGGAATGATAGAATACTTGTACATGTTGGGGTTTTTTTTTTAAACAAGATAAACCAAGATACTGACTCTTTTCCTCTCCTTTGAGTGTTCCTGCTAAAGATGCTTGCAGATGAAGAGAATAACAACAAAGTAAGTCTGAGTTGATGAGCTATAAAATCCTCTGTGAAAGAAGGTGATATGTATGGTGGTTGTGGCAGGAGTTATGTAGCTGTCACCCAGTCCATGTTAGGAATTGCACAGATGTCACCTCCATGGTGCTCAACCCTAGGTTGCCACTTGAAGAGGGGTCACCAATCTGCTGAGTAAATAAGTGATTTATTTAGCCAACAGCAGAGCAGCTCAAGCAGGGTGCCTCCAAAAAGGGACCCTTACAGCAGGTTGTGCACCCCAATTATATCCTTACAGTCAGATTTCCTGGAATGTACTGTCCATCACCTGATCCCCAAGTCCAATCACATAATTCTGGTCAGTGGTCTCTTCTTACTAGTTTTCTTGGCTGCTAGGCTGGCTGCCCTCTGAAGTTACCTTATTCCCTTGGAACTGTTTTCTTGGTCCTTTTCATTATTCTGCATGCATCTGCTCGTTTCAGCTAATAGTTTTGTATCTGTAACATTAGTTTTATAAAAAAAGTTTACTCTTGGTCAGCTTTTGCAGCGTAAGGCTTCAACTACTTTGGTTTCTAGTGGTAAGCAAGGTTTTCAACAGTGGTGGTAACTTACCTGCTTCTGCTGTCTGTGTGATGAGGCTTCTTAACCCTCAAAGCCATAAAAATCTTCCAACAGATGAAAAACACCTAACCAAACAAACCCTACAAGATTGTGTTTTTTTCCCTCTGTGTATGAGTACTTAAAACTTGTTTCTAATGAAAAGTAACGTATTTCAATGGCTATTGACGAATTGTGCTGCTAACATGTTTCCAAATAGTTTAGTTACTGCCTCCAGTGCTGTTATTGGAACACACAGTACTCTCTAAAACAGCCTGTTTATATAAATATTTGGCTTGATAACTGGCAAATAACTAGTTTCTTGATAAACCTTTCTCAAGTTTTAAATACTACTGCCTGTGGCACCTTCTTCTGGCAGGGGATGAAAGTCAAACCATTACACATCTATTGATTTCTTTTTGTCTTTCTGTAGTTTGCTTACCTTGAGCCTTAAATGTAAAACTCAACAAGGAGAACACAAGAAATCAAAGTGTGACTTTTAACACTACCTGACAACCGTGGCATTTTTTTATTTTTACGGTCAGACCTTCTTACCTTCCTATTTCAGTTGAATGTTTTACTTAGGACTTGAGGATCCAGGTGCCAGACCTCAATCTAGCAAGCGTTAATCTGTGCTGGCAGTGTTACAACATTAACTTTTAACTCTTGAGGTATTTTTAACTACCTTTCATTTGCTTGCTTAGAGAGCTTTTCTATTCTAATATTGTTTCTCACAAATAAATTAAAAACAGATCCCTTAACATCTGTCCTGGCTCTAGCAGAACCTTGTCTGACTGGCAGTAAAATCAGACTGTATAATGGGGAATTTGTGTGTATATTCATATGGGCACATGCAGCTTGGAAGGGGGAAGCTCTTTAGCATAATTAAGCATTTGTTCTGCTGATTAAGGATGCCAATTAAACTCAGACACCAGAGTAAAAAGAGTAGGCTGGTTTTACTGTTAATAATCAAGGAATATAAGTACTACAGAAAATAAGCAGTAAGAAAAATACAGAATAGTACACTTACTGCTACATACAGTTAAGCAAGGTAATGCACCTAATCATTACTACACAACAGGGAGACTAGTGCTTAACAAAGATACATCACCACTTGCATACATTGCCAACATCCAGACCCACGGTGGCTGGGGAGCCCTGGTTGCAGTGAGGATTTGGAGAGCCTTTCCCTGCAAGTGGGAAGTTCTCCACAACATGCCCATCCATAGGCAAGATATCTAAAGTTGCAGCAAGTGGGTCCAGCCTTATATACCAAAAATCAGCAAGCCAGAATAACTTGCATCTTTGTTTTGAGTGAGAACATCTGGTTTCATCCTCCTGTTGGATTCCACCCAAAGCCTGGCCAGGGCTTAGGGGGAAAAGCCAAGGGAGTTTCTAACAAGGCCAAACATTTGGGTTCTCAGCCTTGAACAAGGCTAAACAAGGAAAGGTGGGTACACATTCTCACAGCATTTCATCCTCATGACTAATTACATTTTGTCTAAACTACATCTTTCAGTAGTGAGTATACATGTTT